AACATTACATTGGCCATGTTTCCTCCATTAATCTGGAGTAAAAATGTAAAATGAGGATTAAGGCTGCACGATTCTGGGCAAAATAAGAGTCACAATTTTCTTTTCACTCAGAATCAAGATTGTGATTTTCTCTCATGATTCCTGAGCAATAAGTAACAAGGTTAAATTCCAAAGGTTTGCACAATGCATGTAGGAATACAACTTCAGATGCATGTTATATGTACACTATGATGCAGTACAAATTAAGAACCATTATCATATTTTTCTCAGTACTTGTTCCCGCCTTGTTTGCCAGTTGTGGTTTCCATAGTTACCAGCTGCTTCTAATTAGATTGCACGAGGCGGGAAAGTTAAAGGCTTGAAGTGTGAACTTGTTGGGTATCCTAAGTGTGAGTGCTTAGTTACGATAGACAGTGTAATATCAAAGGCTATGCAACTGATTTCACCTCAGTCTAGTTTTTGTAGCTGAATGATGGCACTTGGAGTTAATTTATTGTAAGTTGGGCTCCAAAAAGGGCCATGATGATGATGTCTTATCACTGCGAGGTATTTGCTGAGTGTAACTGCCCTTTTGCCTCTTTTGCAGGGTGCTTTGCTTGGTATCAGTCTGCTACATTGATGTAGGACTAAGTAAGTGCTACTGGTGGCTTACTAATGGGGTTGTGAGACTGCTTGAGGAACCTGGATGGGTGTTAATCCCCTTACTCCTTGACATTGTGATTATATTCTTGCTCTTATGCTCTTGCCCCCCAGGTGCTGGCATTGGCTCTCCTGTAAAATATAGCTTGGCTGCTGGATCTTCTGGGAGCAGCTCTGGGTCCAGCCAGGCACAAGTGGCAACAAGCACTTGTAAGTCTGGTCAAGGCATTGGATCCTTCTCCTCCTTGACCAGCACTGTAGGTTCCCGGAATGGCCAAGAATCTCTTCAGTATGTGGCAGTCCAGCCTGATGCAGGTCCTGGTACTCACTATGCTCCTACGGTATTTATACCCCCTACTAAGGTACAGGGGGTAATGCCCCAGCAGCCCCTAACCAGTGCCCAGCAGCTAGGGTCTAAGGTGAGCTACTCCGGTGTGCAGCAGCTAGTGCCCCAGCAAGGCCTAACTGGTTCCCAGCAGAGCTACCCTGGCATGCAGCAAGTAGTGCCCCAGCAAGGCCTAACCGGTTCCCAGCAGAGCTACCCTGGCATGCAGCAAGTAGTGTCCCAGCAAGGCCTAACTGGTTCCCAGCAGAGCTACCCTGGCATGCAGCAGCTAGTGCCCCAGCAAGGCCTAACTGGTTCCCAGCAGAGCTACCCTGGCATGCAGCAGCTAGTGCCC